TAGGCAGAACAGACATCTTTACTGTGTTGAGTCTTCCAATTCACGAGCATGGGATATTCTTTCATTTGTGGAGGTCACTCTTGGTTTCTTGTAATAGTGTTCTGTAGTTTTCCTTGTACAATTCTTTTGTTTTTTTTGGTCAGGTATATTCTGGATGCCAATTCAACTTTTTAAAAAAAAATCATTTTATTGGGGGCTCGTACAACTCTTATCACAATCCATACATATATCACTTGTGTAAAGCACATTTGTATATTCATTACCCTCATCATCCTCAAAATATTTGTTCTCCACTTATGCCCTTGGTATCAGCGCCTCCTTTCCCCCCCTCCCTCCCTGCTATCCCCTTCCTCCTGAACCCTTAATAATTTATACGTTATTATTATTTTGTCATGTGATACACCATCTGATATGTTACACCCATTTTTTCTGTTGTCCATCCCCTAGGGAGGAGGTTATATGTAGATCCTTATAATCAGTTCCCCCTTTCTACCCCACCTTTCCTTCACCCTCCGGTATTGCCACTCTCAGCACTTGTCCTGAAGGGATCATCTGTCTTGGAATCCCTGTATTTCCAGTTTTTACCTGTAACAGGGTACATCCTCTGGTCTAGCTGGATTTGTAAGGTAGAATTGGATCATGATAGTGTGGGGGAGGAAGCATTTAAGAATTAGAGGAAATTTGTATGTTTCATTGTTGCTACACTGAACACGACCCTTCTGTAAGGGGGTGAGCCGTTACCTACAGATGGGTCTTGGGTCTCCACTCTGCACTCCTCCTCATTTACAATGATATGATTTTTTTGTTCTTTGATGCCTAATACCTGATCCCTTCAACACATTGTGGTCACACAGGCTGGTGTGCTTCTTCTATGTGGGTTTTGTTGCTTCTCAGTTAGATGGCCGCTTGTTTACCTGCAAGCCTTTAAGACCCCAGACATTATATCTTTTGATACCCGGGCACCATCAGCTTTCTTCACCACATTTGTTTACGCATCCATTTGTCTTCAGTGACCGTGTCGGGAAGGTGTGCATCATGGCCAATTCAAATTTTTACAAGCATTTAACTTACTGAAAATTCACTCCATCAAGTCAATACCAACTCTCCTCGACCCTATAGGAAAGGATAGAACTGCCCCTGTGAGTTTCAAGTCTGTTTAAGGGAGCAGAAAGCACTGTCTTTCTTCCATGGACTGGTGGTTTCAAACTGCTGACCTTGTGGTTAGCAGCCCAATGCTTAATGACTGCATGACCAGAGCTTATTGAGAGCAGTACAGTAATGGGCTGTTCAACCTTACTTGTAATGTGTGATTTTCCATAGCTGTTACCCTTTCTTTTTATGTTTGGTGGCCATTTTGATGTCTTCTTTTATAAAATATGAAGCTTCTTTTAACCTGAGGTCTTCAGATTTCCCGGAATGTGGCATCATCCATTCTCAAATAAGAGAGAACTCACTTTTAGCCCTCTACTTTTCCCGAGTTATACTCATATTCTGTAGCACTGCTATTTCTTTTTAAAAGAGCAAGATGAAATGCCTGGAGGAACATATCAGTTGTCAGAATCACTTAAGAACGCAATAGTTTATTTGAAACAGCAGACCTTTGAAATAACTGAGTTTTAACATGACTTTCTTTTGTAGCTAAAGCAGAAAGAACTGGCTCATATGAAAGCCCTTGCAGAGGAATGGAAGAAAAGGGACCGAGAGAGAGAGTCATTGGTAAAGAAAAAGGTAATAGCTTGTATAGAAATTGAAGGGGGAACTAACAATATTAACAATAAGATGTTTTCATGAATTAAATGTTCTAGAAGGCTAAACGAGCTAATTATTGTGGTTATCTATCAGCAAAGAGGAAATGAATAAGTCAGGGTGGTCAGAGGTTTTTCATTGTAAGCTGTTTTGTGAACCATGTAGGTAGATTACCTATCTACAAATATATAAATATGAAAAATGAATATTTTCAAGAAAAAAGGTTTTGTATAATAGTGCAATCTATAAATTCATAATAATAGAAACATTTTAAACTTTTAAAGAGAGAGTTAGGTTATACAATAAGCCACATCTTTTAAAAGGATAATATGTTTGGAGCCCTGGTGGTTCAATAGGTAATCACTTCGCTGCTAATCAAAAATTGGTGCTTTGAGCCTGCACAGCAGTTCCACAGCAGACAAGAAAGACCTGCCGATCTGCTCCTGCACATAACTCCGCCTAGGAAACCCTATGGGACAGTTCTTCTCTCCGCCTGAGTTTGCCCTGATTAATTCAACAGCACCCAACAACAAGCCAC